GAAAGTTGTCTTACCGTGCCTATAGATGGCGCCAATAAACCAATATACTCTGACCGTCTTCTGCAGAGTACTCGCTAAGCTTTCCTTACGGGTTCTACGGGTTGTGGCCCTAATGATCGCTATGAGAAGGTCCTGGTGGCGTACCCCAAAGGTTAATTAACATTTCATATTTGATCATTTTGCTGTTCTTAGCAACAGGATAGAGCCGAAAACCAAGAAGCATAATTATTCATGTAACATTTAGGTAAAATAATCCGAATGGTGAATGGTGAGAAAAAAGTGTCTTCACAAGTGCGTACACGAAAACTTCTAGGCAGAACTTACATATCACACCATGCGAGAAATTACGTCTGGCCGGAAATCGCTTTTGCGCTAACGTAACACATACGGTCATTTCTACGCCTCATGCTATACACCATCCGGACATTGCTGCGAGACATCCCAGTAGCCCGTTTTACAGTGAAACTGTACGCCTGTAATTATTCAACGATGTACAACAATAGCAAAGATATAATTTGCAATATACAACCATAATATTTTTTCTTCTTCCCACTTCTTTCTCTCTCTCTTTCTCTCTCTCTCTCTCTCTCTCTCTCTCTCTCTCTCTCTCTCTCTCTCTCTCTCTCCCTCTCTCTCTCCCTCTCTCTTCTCTACAGGGACTTAGCTAACTCACTTTGTTTGGGGCGAGGGAGGCAAAGCCACGCGCGCTTTGCGTTCTGGTCAGTTGCCCGTCAGCAAATCATTGTTGCCGCTTCTAAATCGTGAGAGGTCAACTGTCCGCCCCTTACCATCACCTCCGCTAGCTGCTGTCCTGCATACGCGTTCCTTTTTGTTGACATTGTTGACATTTGTTGACATTATATAACAATAGTGAGTATATTTCCAGCAGCAGTTAGATATAAAAATCCTAATGACTTGCTTCTTTAATTACAATGCGACAAATATTACGAATGTCATGAAATAGATGATAGGATCAGATGTGTCTGTGCGCATGGGTATATAGGCCTACTGTGTTGTACTACCAGAAATAATATTTTGTTGAAATTGTGTATTTAAAAAACAGACAATATAAACAGAAACATATGTTGCCGTGAATAATAATATGAAACGCATTGTCCCATTCATATGCCTATAATAAGTAGCCCAATATTCTCAATGTATCGATTATGTACATTTTCATTGCCGTTGGTCGGCGCTAGAGTTGTACATATAGCAGAGCCGTATCTCATATATAATTTTATTGAAATTATACGATTGTATTAAGGAGCCACTCTGGAGCTGTTAGATATGAAAATTGTTAATCCCAATGACTCACTTCAGTAATTGTAAGGCGAAGAAGCCCTTCGAAACGACCTTAACGTTTGCAATAGAGTGGCAGACGTGTTTGTGCGCATGCCTACTATCGGCTAACAGACTTCACATTTTCCTAGACCTATGTGTTTAAAAATTAGAGTAGATACTCAGAAATATGGGCCTATAAAAAGTTGTTTAACGCGTTGCCTCCCTTATATAAGAAGAGAGAGAGAGAGAGAGAGAGAGAGAGAGAGAGAGAGAGAGAGAGAGA